AAATGCTGCTTTTTAAGATGCAGAAGCAGGCACAAGGGGGAAGACGCTGTCCCCAGCAGCGTGGGCACAGGCCTGGACACCTGTCAGCCTCCGGGCCAGCTGGAGGGCATGTGTGGGTGGTGAGCTTTGCCCTTGGAATCTGGGAGGACAGTGGGTGACCAGAGTCCCTTTTGTCCTTGAAGGAGCTTGTCCACCTCAAATCCCAGCCCCACTATGCACAAACCAGGGCCACCTCTGAAGATGCTCCTGCTGACTGTGTGTTTCCTGGGACTGGCAGAAGCCTGCGTTCCCCGGGAAGGTAAAGCCTACGCCCGCTCCGGTCTCTCCTGCTCCATTTCTCCCCACAGCGGGCGGGCTTCTGGTGGCTGGCCTCAGGGAGCCTCCTGATGCCCAGGCAGGCTCCTTCTTGTTTCCAGTTAGACATTCTTGTTTCCCCTTCCCCTTGGTGGAGGCGGTGGGGTGGAGGGGTCCTGGGGACCATAGGTCCTGCCCTTGGGGACGGACGGACTTGAGTCTGTATCCTGCTTTAATCACTGACTCCTTGTGATGCTGGGGTGGGTCAGGTCACCTCTGTAAACCTCACTGTGCTCACCCGACCAGTGGGCTTCATAAACACCTCCAGTCCATCGGACTTCTGTGTGTCCTGGATAGCGCCTGCAGTTAATGTTACCATGGTTACAGAGTTTAGTGGAAGCCCAGAACTTTACGATATAAATACACCACGCGTTGGGAGGAAGACTCGAGTCGCATTACAAAGCTGAGTTCTCCCCGCTGCCTCATTCGCTCCATGACTGTTTATTGAGTTCCTGGTTTGTTCCATGTGCTTGATGCTGGGAATGCAGTGGGTGAAAAAACAGACGTAGCCCCATCTCTGTGGAATTCTCTCACATTACACATAGGAACACGTCCTAGTGTGGCAAGTCGGGGAAGGTCAAATAAGTGACATGTGAGAAGATGCCTTGATGGGGAAGGGGGAGGGAACTGCGCCTGCCGAGGTTCTGGGGCAGGAGGGCTGTGTCCCTCCGTGGGGCTGAGGGCAGACAGGGTGTCTGGAGCGCGGCAGATGGGGTGAGTGGCGTGGGGGGGAGTTCTTACAGGTGGGGACAGAGGGGAGGCAGGAACCAGAACATGTGAACGTCACAGGTGCCCAAGGGAGCTGTTACCGGACTTTCAGTGAGACAATGCCTTGTTTGGGGCGTGGGAGGGGGTCTGCGCTTAGGCAGTCAGTTTTGCCTCTGGGTGAAGAGCAGACTGGACAGGAAGCAGGGCAGAAGGAAGAGAGCAGTCAGGAGACAGGTGCAGGTATGGGGCGCAGGCAGGGCCAGTGGGATGTTACCGGGCCTCTAGGAACAAGAGTTCACGGGATCGCATGGCAGACTAGACGCTGGAGTTTAGGGAAAGACAAGAGTGAAAAAAGACTCCCATGATTTTTTTTTTTTTTGCAACTGAGTGATTGAGGCTTCCCTTAACGGAAAAGTTCTACACAGCAACTGGTTTTAAAATTTTTATCTTGAAATCATTTTAGACTCACAGAAAACAGAGTTCCCGAATACCCTTCCCCCAGCTTCCCTTGATATTACTGTCTTACCTAAGCGTAGCGCAGGGATCAAAACCGAGACCTTCATATGAACGAAACTGCAGATTTTATTCAACTGTCACTAGTTTTTCCACAAAGGTCCTCTTTCTATTTAACCCCACACTGCACTGAGTTGCCACATCCCCGTACTCTTGCGATTATTCCTTGGAACTTGTGGCTGAAGTTTGCCAATCTTCCTGAGCTGGACACTTCTGAAGAGCCCTGGTCAGCTATTCTGTAGAATGCCTCTTGATCTGAGTCTGAAGTCTTCCCAGGGTTACAATGAGGTTACACACCACAGACGTGGGGCCCCGCCGTCCTCTGCACACTTTGTCAGGGTTTACGTGGCGCTGATGTGGCTCACTACCTGTGATGTTAACTTTAATCACTTGGTTAAGGGGGTGTCTGCCAGGGTTCTCCACTCTCCTCAGTTACTAATTTCCCCTTATAATTAATAAAAACCCTGGAGGAGACCGTTGGAGACTATGCAAATATCCCATTTCTCCTCAGTTTTAGCATCTATCTGTGGATCTTGTCTGCAAAAATGATGACTGTAGTATTTGCACTTTTTCTCTTATTCCTTCCACATGTACTAGTTGGAATTCTTCTGCAAGGAGGACCCAACACTTCTGCTCTAGTTATTTATTTAAGTGCTTATATCAATGTGAACTCACAGATATTTATTCTATTAACAAAAACCAACATTTTTATTTTTTGATGGCTGGGAGGATGATGGCCACAGATCCTCTTTTGGACATGCTAAGTCTGAAAAGCCTGTGAGATATTTGAGACCTTCATAGGTCACGGCTTTCATGAGATCAGGGCTTAAGATGTCTTGTTTACTCCTGTGCCAGGATCTCTCTCCCCACCAGTCTTGCTCATGCCTACAGAGCAGGAACTGAGTCTAATTCAACAGCATCCCTAGCATTAAGCACAGACCAGTGGCCAGTGTTTGTGCCAGATGAACGCTGGTTGGTTGGATGATGGATGGACAGAAGATGGATGAATGGTTGGATATTGGATAGACGATTGGATCAGTGATGGGGGGATGGATCCATGGATGGATGGTAGATGGACAGACAGATGGATGGTGGGTGGATGAAAGACGGATGGATGTATATAGATAGATGGATGATGGACGGCTAGATGATGGATGGCTGGATGAATGGATAATAGATGGATGATGGGTGGTTGGGTGGATAGATAGATGGATGGTGGATGGCTAGTGGATGTATGGAGCATTATCAATAAAGGGTGGGTGAGCTGACCTCTAGTTACACTCTCAGCTCTGGTCTTGGGCATTGCACTGATCTGAGTCTAATGCTGAATTCTCTCTCTGCTCCCTGCTTCCTGCTCCTCTTGGGATCCGGATGGCTAACACTTTTGCCTCCAGTCGCAACTGAAGAAAAAAGTAAGAACTGTGGACTTCCCAAGTTTGTGTCCCCATAGCCAGCTCCTCTCAGACTCGTGCAGGTTTTAAGACCCCTCTGAGGATTCTTGGGGGCCAGGGAATAACCAGCAAAAGCAAGCCACCACCACCTTTGTCTTATATCGATGCCCACAGCCAAAAGAGCTGCCCTCCTTCATCCTTTTGTCCAGGGGAATAAAGGTTCAGTGGGTGAACAGGGAGTTCTTACCAGGAAGAAAGGATGGTCGGAATATTCCCATCAGAGTTATACTCGGACCTGACCCACACTCAGTCTAGCCGGTGCTTCTTGAACTTCATGGCCTCAGGGCCATTGAACACTCTTAAAAATTATTAAGGATCCCAAAGAGCTCTGTTTTTTAAATATGGGGTATCTCCACTGATATTTATCTTATTAGAATTTTTAAATTTTTAATTTAGGAGTGTTTATTTGTACAACTTGTTGACATGCACACGAAGATGCCCATTATTACTAGTCATCAGAGAAGTAAGAATCAAAATGACAGTGAGACACCAGTTCCCACCCACTAGGGGGGCTCTAACCAAAAAGACAGGCGGTAAAAAGTGTTGGTGAGGATGTGCAGGAGTTGGACCCCCTTAGAACGTTGGTAGGAATGTGAAATTTTTTGGCTGCTTTGGTAGTTCCTCAAAACATTAATTAATCCAGGAATTCCACTTCTGTCCAAGAGAAAAATTATTTGCTTCAACAAAACAGCAAATCATAACAAATTGACTGCAGAAGCAGAAATAAGACCCCGACTGTTTTCTATTAAGCCAGACATTGGAGAGATTTGCAAAAATGTAAAATAATACCTCTCTTCTCATGAAACTTTTAATTTAAATAAGATTTCCAAGATTCAAAATTCAAGTGTTCTGAAGGCTGTGGCATTAAAAAATCTCCCCAGCCTGTTCACCATGCTCCCCTCCCCAAAAGCATCCAGCACTTCCTGTTTCTTACAGATCCTTCCAGAGACAGTCTATGCAAGAAGAAGCAAATGAGCATTGAATACGTTTATAACCTACCTGCTTCCATTTTTACACAAAAGGCAGCATATTATGCACACTCTTCTGTGTCCGCCTTGCTTTCTTCACTTAACAATACGTCTCAAAGGTCACCACATGTCAGTCTGTAAAGAGCAGCCTCAATCTTATTTTTAATAGCTGTATAATATTTCTTGTATAAACATCCATAATTCATTGAACCAGAAACTCATTGATGGGCATTTAAATTGTTTCCAATAGATTGCTCTTTTAAACAATGCTTCCAAAAAACCCAACCTTATATAATGATAAATATGATATATATAACAGGGTATGTATAGTTTTGGAAATGAATTCTACATGGTATATAATTGCTATGTCAATTATATAATTAATAATAATTATATAATATGTAATTTATATATAATATACATACATCATATCAATATGATTATATTATGTATAAGTTTATAATTTTATGTGTATATTGTATATATAATCCATCTGTGGGATTCATTATGTTAAAGAAGGGGTTCCCAACAGCCTTGCTAATAAATAGAGTTATCAAGCTGTTTGATCTCTGTTTAATTACATGCGACAAGCTACATGAAAATAGTGTCTCAGGGAGCCCCTCCGCACCGAACAATCAGCAGGTGAATGAAGGAATAAAGAAGCGCGTGCGGGAATTAACCGAAGTGGGTGTTGTCACTGCTAATCCAACTTTCCCGCTTGCTTTTATCTTCCATGTCAATTTGCTGGCTCCTGGTTCTGTTGCTCCTTCCAGTCAAGTGTAAGTCCTGTCTCCTCCCTGCGTAACTAGGGAGCCCTTCAACCCAGAGGAGGAAGGGGTAAAGGGGAAAGGTCAAAGGGCTGACCTCCATCTGCAATCTGGGCCCCTCAGAGGATACTCTCAGTCCCAACATGGCTCTGAACCCAGAATCTGCAGATCCCTGGGGGCACCTGGGTGGTCTCTGGGGAGGTCAGCCTGCCTCTGTCATCTCGTGTAAGGCTGGGTGTGAGAGAGAGAGCACCTGCGTGTTTTCTGGGAATATGGACTTCATAGCTTTAATCAGATGTTCGGTAGGATCAGTGACCTTCTGCTCTAAAACATACAACTGGGTTGGGTTGGGTTCTGTGTATTCATGGTGCGTTTTAGATGAGAAAAAACATGGTACAGGGTAAGGCTCCCTCTTTACCAAGTGCCAGCCATCCTGGCCTCTGGCTGAGAAGTGGAGATGACTCCTGGTTGTTATAGAGGGTCCTCTGCCGACCTTCTGAGACTCAGTGGAGGGAGGGTTTGGATGCCTCAGACAACTGGTCTCCCTGGGGTTTCTTGACTTCTGGGATAAGTGCGTCTCTAAAGAGGCCTGTGGTTCTTAGAATGGGTCACAGCTTCTCATTCTGGCGCCCCAGCCTATCTTGGGACCTAGGGTGTGCAGTGAGGTATGAAGGATGACTTGATTAATTGCATATTCTCTCTGTGTCTTCATTGGGAAAATGATCCTCGCTGGCCACTGCTGGTCCCCATCTTCCCGCTGTTGGCCTGTCAACAGTACTGAAAGGTAAGTCTCTTGTTCCAGCTCTCTCCTTTTGCCTCTGATGGCCCTTGTCTGAAAAGGGTAATTTCTACTGACCTTTAATGGATCCTTCTTCTACTGACTGTCCACAGCCCAGCTTCTAATCTAGAAGCATAAACAATGGAGACTTGACCATTTTGATGAAAACAAAATACTGTACCCTTCCTTCCCCCGTAAAAACCAGCTGCCCAGAAGTTGAGCACATTTTCGTGGTCCCCATATAACTACAGGAAAGCCAGTTGGTCATAGGGATAAATTCAGGTCTACCTGAGATCTCCTATTTGGACAGACACAGTAATCTCCACCTCTGCGTTCTGAGGCCATAGAAGAATTCAGCATCACCACTGTCCGCTCCATAATTCCTGTGGAGGGTGCCTCAGTCAGCGTGGGCCGCTGTAACAGAATGCTGTAGACCGGGTGCCTCAAACAATAGGCATGTGTTTCTCACAGTGCTGGAGACTGGAAGTCTGAGATCAAGGTGCCAGCATGTTCAGTTCCTGGTGAGGTCCCCCTGTTTGGCTTGCAGATAGCTGCCTTCTCACTGGGTCCTTGTCTGGTGGGGAGAGAGAGAGAGAGCTCTGGCCTCTCCTTTTTATATGGACACTAGTCCCATCATGGGAGTCCCATCCTCATGGCCTCATCTAGGACTAATTACCTCCCACAGGCCCCACCTCTAAACACCATCACATTAGGAGTCCAACATATGATATGGATTCTGGGTGGATGCAAACGTCCAGTCCATAACAGATGGCAACCTGGAACCAGTTCAGTGAAATGAGGCCACATCTTTATGACTGAGTTTATAAGCTGGGGAGGCAGGAGACTTGCTCAGAAAGTGAGTTGATGGCCAGCAGAAAGGGCATGGGCTCAGGATCAAACCCTCCTGTACTCAGAGCCCACGTCTGCCCCTTCTGAGCTGGACACCCTTGGAGAAGTCACTTCACCTCTCTATGCCTGCTTCATGCAGTTGAACGCAGTCAGAGGTGTGAAACACTTTTCAGCTCAACCTAAGAAAACTAGGGTCCAGTGGTTCTTCCAGCTTCTATCCCCACCACCCTCAACACCACACACACACACACACACACACACACGCA